CACCAGCAGCCAGGTTTTCACACACGAAGGACAGTGCATTCATTCTAAGTAATGATTTCATAAGAGACGGTACCAAGTGGCCTATCTGCAGAGCACCGTCCCACTGATCACCTGGCCTGTTCCACTGGAACTGATCTAGCGACTGAGACATGTACCTACAAGGTTAGTGGCTATGGTACAACTCCATCAGTGCTTCACCTGTAACTTTAGGTTCCCTGTCTCTACAGAGTTAAAACATTTTAAATATTATGTACAGCTTTCCAAACTACCCCACCCTCTATCTCAACCATTACATTGACCTATCCCTCGGCAGACTTCTCTACCCCAGTCTCCTGAAATCTCGAATTGAGGAAGTATCTACCCAGCAAATACATTCCTACCTTCTCTCAGTTATAAATCTATTGCACTTCTTCCCAACCCTGACTCTCCCTAGCCCACTTATGCCAGGGAAACGACTCTTCTAATATGTATAGGCTCACCCACATCCTCAACTATCCCCTTAGGAAAAATCCTTCTATCTTCCATGCTCCACCTTCCCCTGACATGCTCCTGACAGTTGCTTCCAGCAAGCCTTCCATTCTTACCCCAGAACAAACCATCCCTTCTCAGGAGCTCTTGAGCAGTTGCAACAAGACTCTCCACTTGCTCACAACTTGGACTCCTTTCAGTGAGTCTAGCACCTGTATTATTGACTCATTGTCTTTAAAAGGACACATCAAAAGATGATAGACTGAAACACACGAACAGCCATCGGGCAAATGAGACTCATGGTAACGGCACTTCAATATCTCTCGTGCCCCTGGCCAGTACAAAACAAGAAGACCAAGAAGTCTCAAGAACAAGGTCAAAGATGAGGGGAGGGTTGGAATGACAAATCTGGATGTCTTTCTAACTAAAGTGCTACAGTTCAATGTAGGCTGTGTGAAAGTACTTTGGGACTGTAATGTCTAGACCATGAAGGAACTTCCTGGGTAGCTGGAAATATTGCCAAGCAGAGTAGGGTGTGGCGTAGGTGAAACAAATTGATTTCAGGTTGGAAAAAGTATAAAATGAGAATTAGGATGATAATTTGCACTGAAGGTAAATAGAATAAAATGCTAATAGAAACTGACAGTGGCTTGATGACGGGTGGTTAAGAGCATGTGCTGCTTTTGCAGAAGACCTGACTTCAGCTGCCAGCACCCACACTGAGTGGCTCACAACTTAAGTTCATAAAGACTCCACATCCCTCTGGCCTCTGTGGGCCTCTGCATTCGAGTGCACATACTCACACATACATCCACACACACATACGGAAAGTTAAAGCTTAAAAACCAAACAAACAAAAAACCCTAAAGGTGGGGACTGAGTACATACAAATTTGTTAGGTTGTTCTCTTACATTCTTAGACATTTTCAATAATAAAGATTCTCTCTCTCTCTCTCTCTCTCTCTCTCTCTCTCTCTCTCTCTCTCTCTCTCTCTCTCTCTCTCTCCCCCTCCCTCCCTCCCTCCCTCCCTCCCTCTCTCTCTCCTCATACTCAATCAACACACCTTTATGATTTCAAGATCTTCTAATGCTACTATAAACAGCACAATTAAACGTCTTGAGTTGGCTTTCTCAAAATAAACAAATAAAAACCTTTCCCCGGGGCACCGCCTCTATGTTCTATATTCTCTTGCTGATGGAACGTTCCTGCTTTCTATGGCAGGCTCTGTGTTAGTACCTCCCACCTACACAGTCTGGGCTATAGACAGGCAGACACAAGTATTCACCAAAGTCTTCTATGATGCTATGAGAACAGAAAACAAAAGGTAACAGAGCTACCTTTTAACATATTCCCCTACTGTTCTACAGAGAGAGCATGACGTGGCGTGTTCTAAACTCTCACAATCTGGCCTCCATCTTAACCCTATAGAGAAATTCTTTCCAATGACCTTACTGATTACAATTCAAAATGGTTGACTCCTCATCCCAAAATGGCTTTCTGTAGCATGTTAAACTACTGACCGTCCTTTCCACTTATCAACTCTGGACCACAGGCTTGTCTCTAGATTTATGCTGAATAGTCTCCTGAATAGTCAAATTCACATCACATCAAATTCCAAAATGCAATTAGTCACCTTCACCAACTCCTCCATCACCCACACTCCAAACACCTCTCCCCCTAGCATATCATTTCTATAAAAAGAACCAATTGTCTTAACTCTAGGGGTTCAAGTCTCAGTATCCCTAACTTTTACTAGCCCACATCTGAGTGGATATCTGCCCCTTCTGAGGCTGCCTACTTCACCTCTCTGCCTTTGCCAAGGCGCACAATAAGCCCTGTGTTCCTGCAGGTGTCACTCGCTCGAGCGATTAGTATCAGAGCTTTATCTTTTCATTTATATTATAGAAATGATCTCTGTCATAGGTTTTGTTCTATCGATGTGGGGAGACACCATGACCACGGCAAGTCTTACAAAAGAAAGCATTTCACTGGGGCTGGCTTACAGCTTCAAAGGTCTAGTCCATTATTTTCATGGCAGAGAACATGGCAGCATGCAGGCAGACAAATGCTGGAGAAGGAGAGTTCCACATCCAGACCCATCCACAGACAGCAGGAAGGGTAACACTGGGTCTGCCTTAGGCTTTTGAAACCTCAAAGCCCGCCTACAGTGACACACTCCCTCCAATAAGGGCACACCTACTCCAACAAGGCCATACCTCTCAATCCTTCTCAAGTAGTGCCACTCCTTCATGCCTAAGCATGGAAATACATTAGTCTATGGGGGCCATTCTTACTCAAACTATCACATCCCTATGGTTCAAAATAAAGTCTCAGTTGTCCAACAGGGCAAGATCTGGTCCCAGGCTTTCTTTGCCACCTACCCTCCCTCTTCCTCTAAATCCCCCAGCACTCTCCAGTGCACCCTGTCGTAACATTTGAGCCTGCACTACTCTTACAATCTTTTAGCCTCCCAAAATAATCTGTGTCCTGTTCAATCTCTTGTAGGTCAAAGTTTCATTCAAATTCCATCTTCTCTGTGACTTTTCTCATGTCTTCATGGTCCCCCACCAAAGAGCAATCCATCTTTTCTAAAGATCGTTTACATTTACTGTACTCTACTACAATCATGACAATATTTGACCTCTACATTGTCAGAGCAGGTGAAGCGCATGTCTTGCTATAAGGGACACCCAAAAAATGCATATCACATACTAAATTATCTTCCCTTCCACAAGTAGTGTGGCTAAAAAGACTAGCATAAATGAAACCTATAATAAATACCTTCTAATATAATTTTGAAGTTATATGACAATTCTTATGTGTGCAGAATTTTCAATGCCTCAAAAGTGGTGCAGATAAAATAATCAATACATAGACATATTATAATATGATATTTATGAATATCACACAAGTGTTTGGGATATATGCCATTCCCAAATTGCCTTTAAAATGAGCTGTTAACAACAGAAAAATGGTCTTTGTAATGTAGTCCTATTTATCAGTGGAGAGAACAAAGCTGGTCTGCTGTGACTCCAGCAGGAGCAGAAGGGATTTCCTATTTAAACACAGCGTTTTGTATCAGTAGAGAAAACTGTTTTTCAGGGCCTGTGGGCTATAAGAGATTCAGGTTTAATACAACTCAAGTGAAGCGTTAGTGTTACTAATGTATTATTCGATTACAAAAGTTTACTATTTCCTGAGCACTTACAACCATGTCAGACACTGTTCTAAGCCTTGATGAATAATCTTATTTAGCTTTTATAAAATGCTATACAACAGAGACACTTTAAAAAACCAGACATATAATGAAGATCATATTATTTTTTTCCACTATTGTGGTCTACGGATCCAGCCAGGGTCCAAGGTTGCCAGGTAAATGCTCTATTGCTGAGCTACATTCTCAGCCCTCGGCATTTTGAAACAAGGTCTTACGACATAGCTCAGGCTAGCCTTGAACTGCACAGCCCAAGCTGGCCGTAGGCTCATGATCCCCTTCCTTGGTCTCCCAATTGTCTTACCTATCACATAGTTTTTACATTCACTTTGTTAATAGTTTTTAGAACTTCATACCTGAGTGTCGTATTTACAGTGTTTCCACCCTTCCTTCTGTCCTCTCTAACTCTTCCTATTCTCCTTACCCCACCCAGTCTCAACTCTTTCCTTTTTAATTACTTTTCCTTCTTTAATTACAGATTAGTTGAAGGTATACTTGTTGTGATGATCTAGGGGTCCAGTGATGTAGCCCCTCTTTAATTAACCAGATTATCATCGCTGAGCCTCACACTGGCCACGGATTGGGTGGTCTTCTTACTGCTACTTATAAGATTCAAATAAAACAATGCATGTGACCACAGATGGGAAAACAGCGGTGAAACATAAGGTCAAGGAACATAGATTCTAATTCTAGTCTCTGCTTTGATCTTTACACGACATGATACTTTTCACAAATAAATAATGCAACTCCATTCTCTGGATGGATATGGAATAGCTACCAATTTGCCAAACATTCTGCTATGGTTAGCAACACAAAGGAAAGATGGCTGACTTTCAATCCAAATAGAACTCATGATCTGAGATACAGACGGACGCGTGAATAATTAGAGTAAGCTAAGTGCTCAGACAGGAGAGGTTGTAAAAGTATCTAATCCAGATTTGGGGGCCAAGGAATGATTCTCAAAGGAAAGAATACGCACACTGAGACTGGAGAAGACGAGCAGGAGTTAGTCAGACAAAGAAGTGCAGACTTCCAGATAGAAGGATTCAAGTTCAAAGACTTGGAAACAGGGAGGAATGTTAATAGCAGAGTCTAGAGAACTTTCACGTTGTGAGGGATAATGTCAATCAATAAAAAGCATACACACGAGCACTCTCTAAACGGAAAGGAACCTTAGCCATTACAACAAATACTACTAATCGATTATATCAGGAGTGTTATCGCAGAGAGCTAAACTAAGGGAAGCAGAAGCACTAGGCATAGCTAATGGTCACATTTCAAGATTTGGTCCAAATCTAGAAAACCTTAATTCAGTACCTTTCACATCTGGCCGATACTGCAGCCCGTCATCCTTCTTTCCCAATAAACTTGCATCATCTGTGTCTGTAAGAAAAAGCAGTTGCAGGTTAAGCAATACTTGATGCTGAAGTCACACCAAGAACTCACAATTACCTCAGGTGCCCTGGCTCCTTCTTAACCGTCTGCCTGTCCTGCTCACGTATGAGTTTTACCATTCTACCATCCTACCTGACAGACAGAACTATATTTACCGTGTGAAGAATAACATTTTGACATGTACAACACGAAGGGAATGTTTCCATCATTCTCATTATCAGTGGTCCCTTTTCTCTCCCAGCTCTCAAGTGATCCCAGGTATGTCTACATCTCTGCATGGTAAACAGATTTCATCCAGACTTCAGCTCAAATGTCACCGACTTTAAAAGTCTGGCATACACCCCTTGGAGAGCCTCTCTTTCCAGGGAACCACTGAGCACAAGACTTACCTTTTCCTGCCATGTTTATCTGGAAATATGAGATTACAATACATACAGAATCTCTGCTAAATTGTCAGACAACATTTAGATCCTTTCACGGGAACTGCATTGGATTGTGAAGCCCATACACGTGCTGAAAAACAGGGGCTTCCACCTCCAACACCCGTGAGAGCCAAGAAGGAGCTACAGTTAGGTGTGGATAGAAAAGTACTGAGAGAACCAAAAGAAAACTTAAGGCTCCACCACTCCAAAGCTGCATAAATTTGAATTAAAACTCTCTGGCCTTCCTGTTGCTCTGAACTGGATATTCCAGGGAGGACCATTCAAACACCCCATCAAGCTGTAAATGCTACTGCATGAAATACACCAAACTGTATTCCAAGACCAAAGCCAAGAGGAATAGCCACCTATGGGACCTCTCTGCCAGAAAATGGCCTCCTCCATCACACCCATGCCTACCCTACCTGGAAAGCCTCTGAGGACCATCTTGAATCCACTGGCAGCTCAGAACAGTTATGGGAAGTGTGTCACAAAGAATTCTTTACTAAGACAAAGGAATAAACATCTTTATGATGTCTTTGCCCTGGCTCAGATAGAGCATGTGCCTCTAGTAAGTCCCCCAAAGAACAAAGGTAAAGAGAGTGGAAAGAAAAAGCAGGGAAGGTCTATACTCCTAGAACTTGAAGAGGCCTGGCCCCCATGAATTACTAGAATTCATCCACTATCCCAGCCCACAGGGTATTACTGGCTTCAGTGACCGTTGACACTTCGAATAGGAGAAGAAAGCAAAGCTTATTCTTATATGATTTATGTTTCCTAAATCATAGTAAAGAGAAAGAAGGACAAATGGAATTTTCCTTTACATTCTGTAACTTTACACTAAAAACTGTAACTGCACATAACATGTTTGGGTAGAGGAAACAAAGGGAACTGTGTTGAATAAAGGGAACTCCTGTGCTATGGGGGGGGAGTAAGAATATATACTGCGAATGTATAGTTTTGCCATAATTAAAATAATTAGTCTAATTTCTAGCTATAATTAAATTTGAAATTACCTTAAAACTATAAACAAACCTCAAACTGATTCCGATACACTCACATCAGACAAGGATAAGCTTAGTAACCAAACAACCAAGACACAGTTTATGTCTGAAGATGGTGAAAATAAACAAATGTCTAAATTAGTAGCAAATGAAGTTTTAAAATATACAGTCATAAAAAGACCAAGCCTGAAGAATTACTCATTTTATAAGACACACACTACTAAGCAAGAGTACCACCTTAGGATACTCAAGACAGGCTTCTGGTAGACAGAGCGGCTTTTACCTGTGCAGTGGCCAAGATGCCTTATGTCGATCTGCTCTTGCTTTATACAAGATGCTTCTCGAACGAAACAGGGGTTGTTATAGGAACTCCCATCAGAAGCGCACACGGGGTTAAAGCTGTACCCACTGCAGTCTATGTTACACACACACCTGTTGAGAAAGACGACAGTCACCTACACAGGACAACAAAAGGATTTACAGTGCAGCATCAGCAAACAGCAACTCCCAACTTCCTCTCTGACTTCTGCAACACAAGGCATAACGGTGCTATACATCACAAATAAATCTTCTGTGAACGGGATGCCAAGCTAAAACTGTCTCTCAGGTATGAATTTGGAGATATTCTTAGACATTATGTTACCCCAGTCAGTAGTCTCTAAAATTTTCATTGTTAGATCAAATCATGAGGAGCTGTTCAATGTCAGTAACATTAATTTAAAAACAAGATGGCACCATGAGAAGAACACTGTTTTCTAAACCAATAGTCACAGTTAATATCCCGCATCTTCCTCAAAGTCTCATTTTACCCACCTGTAAAAGAGATAATAATAATATACTTACACCAAACAGTTGGAATAATTAAAAAATATAATAGATATGAACTATGTAGACAGTTCTTTTCTAGCAACACATCTACTTGGGCAACTGAGCATCTACTGTATCCAGAGCCCCATGACACAGAAGCCAAGAGTACCAGGATATGGCACTCTTCCCAAGAACAATGAAGTTTAATGGGGGGATATGATGTCCAGTCTCCAGCAACATTCTAAGCCTAGCCTACTTCACCACCCTCCTACTGAAAACAAAGCTGGGTAAAGCACTTTCAAACTTCCTCTTGGATACACACCAGAGCCGGTAGGAATGCCAGGAATATTCAACACAGTCAGCAACATGAAGACAGAGAGAAAAGCCCTGGCTTTCTAAGGGCAGTTTTTACCTTAAAGAGATTGTCCAAATGGGCAGATACAACCATAAGCATTTTGGTTTTGTGACCCTCTGGGGATATGACCCACCTAAGAGAGGCTACAGAGGCCTCCAAAAGGCCACAGGCCTTGGCGTGAGTTTCATTACAAACAGGGCTACCCTGACCCATAGCACTAAACACTGGGAGAAAAACTTCTCGCCTGAGAATCCACAACCACAGTCAGTTCTTTGTTACAACTTAAAATATAATTGGTTCTTCTAAGGTCCCCAATTCCAGAATTGAAGAGGTTTAGGACTGACTGGCTGGAGCCCTGGGCAAAACCAGAAGCAAACAGGATGTTCTCTAGAGAAGCCCAACTCCACCCTAGGTCTTTGTGGCTCTACAGAGTGCAAAAGTGAGAAAAATAACTACACCTCCAAACACATGTGCACATGCAGGCACACACAGACACAGACACACACACACACACTTAGAATACATGTAAGAGGACTAAACTTTAAATAGCAAAGACAGGCTGGATAAAGTTACAAAAGTAAGTTCTATGCTGCATACAGGGTAACGAAAGCACATGCTGCTCTTGCAGAAGACAACCAGATCAGTTCCCAGCACCCGCATCAGGTGGCTCTCAACGGCCTGTAACTCTCCAGGATACCTGATGCCCTTTTCTGGACTTGACAGGTACCTGCACCCACACATGCACATACCCACACAGACACACCGTATGCACATAATTAAAAACAGGTATGTTAAGAAGTAATGATACAGAAATTGAATAGAGAATAACAGTGACGGAGACGCATTTGGTGTGGGCAGAGTTAGTATCATATACAGAAGACTTTGAGACAAAAAGGAACATAATATGGAAGTTAGGAGGTTCCCTTATGATACTAAAATATTTTATTGTCAGGTGGATTGTCTAACATTCTAATATAGTCTCAGAATCTTCAAAGCAAATATTGACAAGACTTCTGTAAAAATGCTTGCTCTCTCCTCTCTCTCTCTCTCTCTCTCTCTCTCTCTCTCTCTCTCTCTCACACACACACACACACACACACACACACACACACAAATGTTATTCCAAAAAAGTTAAGAAGAGAAGATAAAACAAACTTAGCCTTTTGAAGATGAGGGATGGGTACATGGGAAGGCGCCCACTTTAATTTTTTTTCCTTTCCTATGTGTTTGAAGATCCCTTTAATTCCTGATACTCTACAGACCACATGTGAAAGATAAAACTGAACACTAAAAGATTCAGAAGATCAAAGGTAAGAAACTGATAAATCTGACTTTGAAATAAAACAGAATAATATGCCCGTATAACCAACAAGAAAATTAGAATCCAGAATACATAAATACAAACTCGTTTCCTAAAGGATATAAAATTGATGGGAAAGAGGGGAGCAAAACCAGACTAAGAATGGAAGAGCATTAAACACAATATTTCTAAAGATTCATGCAACCTAACAAGGTTTATCTTTTATAATCATGACATTGGAAGCTAAGACCACAAACGCAGTATCAAAGTCATGAGGTTGATAAGAACTAAAAGGTAGCAGCAAGCACAGGCAGGAATGAGGAGCAGGTGCTGGCATGAGAGCCCATTGGAATGACTGCCTCGAGAACACTCATTCCCAGGAACACCTAGACCTGGACTTGCCCCACGAAGTCGCTCTCCCATGGACTTGAAAGTCTCTTACAGGTGAGCGCCAGGAGACATGAAGTGCACAGTGTTTGTCACGAGAAGATTGTAAATGACCCAAATGACTATCTTCAGCAAAATGGGGCCATAATCACATGGTTCCATCGATCAAATTCCAACACACAGTGAAAATGACTCCAGCTATGTACAGTGCCCTAAATGAATCTCAGAAACACTACCGTTACATAGAAAATATCAAAAAATGCATGTGTTATATTTTTTGTCAGCTTGATAAAAAAGTCTCTGGGTCATCTGGAAAGAAATGCCCTCAACTGAAAAAAATATTTCACCAGACTACCCCATAGGCAAGTCTTTGGAGCATTTTCTTGACTTATGGTTGATGTGGGAGGGTTCAGGGAAAGCCCATCCTGCTGCAGGCAGTACCACCCATGAGCAGGTGGGCCTAGGGTGTCTAAAAAAGCAAGCTATGCAAACCATGGGGAGGAAGCCAGTAAGCAGCATTTCTTCATGGTTTCTGTTTCAGTTCATGCCTCAACTTCCCTGAGTGATAAGGACATGTAAGCCAAGTCAACACTTTCTTTCCTAAGGTGCTTTTGATTGTGTTTATCACAGGCATAGAAAGCAAGCTACGACTATGCATACAGCATAAATCAAATATATAAAACCAATGTTTTTTTTTTAAAAAAAAAAAAAACAGTGAGAGAACTGGTTCAAATGGCTAAGAGCACTGTCTGACCTTCAAGACAGTTCTGTTCCCAGCACCCACATGGCAGCTCACAACCATCTAGAACTCCAGTCCCCAGGGAAATCTTCTTGCCTTCCTTTGGTACCTATTGGAACTGAATGCACACAATATATAAACTCACATGCAAGCAAAACACCAATACATATAAAATATGAAAAAAAGAAAAGAAGAAAAGAAAAAAAAGAAAAGAAAAAAAGAAAAAAGGTAAATAAACCAACAGCAAAATAATATATATGTTAAGAGATATACCACATAGAATAAAACTATAAAGAAAGCAAGGAAATACTTTACACAAAACATGATCTACTGGGTGAATGGGAGAGAGCGTCAAGGGGAGCCCTGAGTTCTAGTAAATGCTATGGTTTGAATATAAGTGACCATCAAAAGACTTTGTGTTAAAGCTTTGGTTCCTAGTATAGTAGAATTCAGAGGCAAGTCTTTGGGGAAGTGCAGTAGCAGGAGGGCTCTGTTTACATGGACTTACCCATCCATGGATTCATAATTTGAGCATCACTGGATGACGGTGGAAAGTAGGAGGGCCTAAGTGGAGGAAGCACTAGAGCCAGCCCTTCCTGTCTCTCTGCTTCTCATGCACTGTAGGGTGAATGGCTCAACTCCATTAAGCTCTCTCTGCCCACTACTCATGTTCCCATAGCAACAGGGCCCAGGGACCACAACCTTCAACCTCTGAAGCAGTGAGCCAAACAAATCTTTCTAAGGTTACTTTCCTTTGGTGTTTTATTAGCCTCGAGGGCAGCACTGTAAAACTCTATTCCTTAGTTGGGAGGAAAGATTCATAAAAGCTCATCTTATTTTTGTGCTACTCCAAGTATAAAAGTTGTCTTTAGAGCAAAAGAAAAAATTAAATTCATAAGAACAATATTCGCTAACAAGACAATAACAATCTCATGCCATTGTTTGCTTTCTAGAATACAGGAGTCGAGAGAATAACCAGAGAGTGTCCTAGAAGCTTAGCTGATCAGAAGAGGGTAAGCTCAGTTGAGGACACAGACAAATCCAGAGACCAGCCACCAACCATACATGAGTGAAAACATTTGCACAAACATTTAGTTCTCTTTCTCCTCCCCCTCTCTTCTCCCTCTCTTCTCATCCATCCATCCCCTCTATCTATTATCTATCTATCTCAATGGGCTATCTATCTATCTATCTATCTATCTATCTATCTATCTATCTATCATCTATTTCAATGGGTACTCTATCTATGTAGCTAGCTATCTCTGTACCATCTATCTCAATGGGCACTGTATCTATCTATCATCTATCTCAATGGGTACCCTATCTATCTATCTATCTATCTATCTATCTATCTATTTATCTATCTATCATCTACCTCAATGGGCACTGTAGAAAGCCAATGAAGTAAAGGACTTTAAGAAGCCATCTACTCCCAATCTTTCATCCAATGCAGGGTTTCCCTGAGGAAGATCTGATACGCTGTCACAAGCCTGCCAGTTCACTTGCAGTAATGGTTAGCTTCCTATCTCACCAGGCAGTACATTTCATGGTTGACTAGTTTCTACCCTAGAATGGCCTCAAAACCTGCATCCCAGTGAACAAGAGGCTAAGCAGCCACGGACTGAAATGTCTGGAGCCACAGGCTACACAAACCTTCCTCCTTTAAACTGCTCTCTGGCATTTAGATCACAGCTACACAAAAAAGCAATGGATATAGTTCTGAGTCAACATGTGATCTCAAAAGTATCTTCCAAGAACTCCTTCTAAATATTCAGAAATAATCATCTGATTATACACATGCTCTCATTGCTGTAAACTGGATCTCAAATTATGCCATCACACAC